GAGAGAAAAACTTCTTCTTTTTTTTTAAATATGTTTTTTTTCTCGAACATGGTTTATGATTTAGAGATAAAATGTTTTTAGAAAATGTTGAGCTTCCGAGTAGCTAGAGTGTACGCAACACTGACCGGTAGAATAATGGAATAATCGAATGAAAATAACTAAAAGAACTGAACTTGATAAAATGGAGATACAGTTTTAAATAGATTCTCATATAATTTAGCAATGAGATCAGAGTTTTAAATAGATTCTCATATAATTTAGCAATGGATAATAATCTAATTACATCATTATAACACAAACTATAGTCGTCAAATAAACTTTAGTTAGTTTTGATTGAACTTCATGTTTTTTTTTAACATAATGATTCAAATTTTATTTAGGTATAATTTTAAAAATGTCATTTTTGGTATGTTTATTTTTAAAATTTCACTGAGTTGTCTATTTTCAAAAATATCTCTTACTGCTTCGATGATATTGCTTCCCACAGAAAAAAAAAATTCATATTTTGTGCTTAGAACATTTATATAAATATAACGTGGTTCTCAAGTATGATATGTTTACCTCCTACGTTGAGGTTGCATCAATGCTTTAGAAGCACTAACACACAATCTTCATATCCTCTTGAAGCTGCAATATGCTGAAATAGTAATACACAACCACGAATTAATGACTATGATTATGAGTATGGAATTGAAATTGTTTTGGGCTAAAAGAAAACTTTACCAATGGAGTTTTTAGAATCTGCAATGTCAATGTTTAACTTAGCCTTGCATTGCATGTGGACACAACAATGTTAAGATTTGAGGCAATGTTCGAGGGAACAACACCGTTGTTTTCTCCATTCTGTTGCACCTTTAATCACTAATGTCTAGATCACTCAGCTTTCTAGAACCAAAAAAAAAATGTTGTATACATGTACATACACTTAAGAAGTTGCTAACTCGATCACATTATTTATATAAATATCTATACGGGATACATAAAAGGTTTATGGACATAACAAAATGTTTCAAAATGAAATTATGGAATTAGAGAAACATAATTGAAACAGTATTATATAGAAACATTATACAAAAAATCTCAAATTTGAGATCATTAAATCTTAAGGTATGAACAAATCAAATATAGTGTGAATTATATAACGAGACATGATTGTATCATATGGGATGAGATTTTCTGCACACTTTGTGTGCATTTGCAAATTATAATCTAAAACAAACAAAAAAATCTGAGAGATTATGGGTGAAGAATTTAAAAACTCAAAGAAGAATTGAAGTCTCTTCGGTTATTTAAAGGGATCAATTTGGTTGATAATTGACTTTAGAGGAAATTCCCCAAGTAGTATTATAATTTGAAATTACACCTTATTTTAAGTTATTTTTTTGTGTTCGTTTTGTAACTACACCTTATTGACTTATAGTCCTTCATCCTCTATCATATGTGTACAATAAACTGCAGTTATGAAGTTACATTGTTCAAATTTGATTTGGTCTACTACTTAATCCTCTATAATATTTGAGGAGACCTTCTAGATTCTATAAGTAATTCTTTTTCTTTTTTGTTTCTTAAAAAAATAAAGATGAATTCTCTGTTCCATCTTCTTTATGCAAGCCGAGTCTTACGAACAATGCTGCTACTTCAAAAATTGAATAAAAATTAAAGTTTCTTTTGTAAATTTTTAGAAATCCCACTTTTTAAAAGATTTTCGGTTTTCGACGCATGTATAACACGGTTCACCGCAAGATTCCCGGTTTTCCGACAGCTGCTGACCAAAAACGTCGTGAGAGGCTCTAGGACAAAATTTTGTGG